AAAAGAAAATTAGCGTCAGGAGAGGATATGGGGGGCCAGGTTCCGATTGTCATCGCGTCTCACGACTTCCATGGAGGCAGAATTGGAACATGCAGAATCTCTTTCCTGGAAGACGTGAAGGGTAGTGACAACTTGTATCCCTTCTCAGCTGACAGTATCAAGTACTTCTGTTGCCTTTGAACCTATTTCCAGCGAATACTATGTGCATTTGCGAGTGTGACCTGTGTATATTTGTCTCATTGCATTGTGTAATATTTAATTTGCCTTGCCTTAATATTCATTTGTAAACTGAATTAATTCTTAAAATGAGATGCTTGCAATTCTTGTTGGATTGAATATTTCATTATGTTCTTATGTTTATGACTGCTCAACAAAATAATGAAGTTTTCTGCTTTTCTATGTATTGACTACAAGTCTTTTCTTTTTTAAATACATGATTAAAATATTATTTCATGTAATTGATGTACGACATACCTAATATGTACACCTTTGAACTTCTGGGAATGCTATTCTGGAAGAAAAAAAAGACCTCTCTCTTGCCGTTCATTCTTAGTCGTCAACGTAAAATTATTCTGAGAAGAAACATAACTTCATGTACTAGAAATAATTTAGACGGAAAGGAGACAGATTGTCTGAAATTAACCAGGATCGAAACTGGACCAAAGGGAAAATGTGCCAAATGGCACTGACTCCCTTCGGCATATACGCTCTCTAGGCTGGACCAAAGGGAATTTCTGCCATTTGCCACCCATTCCCTTTGGTACAGGGCATGCGCGGTTTCTTCAGGATGAAATATTTTTACCGTATGGAATATTTCCCATTCAGACCTTCTCAATGCTTGGAACCCCACATGAACGCAATAAATTAATTCATGGTCATCAATCTCTACTTAAGCATCCCTATGAATCACCATAAATATTGTTTTTGGGACAGTGAGCCACTTTTTCCCTAATTCGAGATGAGTACTTATGCGGTTCTTCATAATGGCCAATACATATTTTAAGAAGGTTGTTTGTCAGCATCCAACAGCAAAAGTATCTCAAAGGGTATGCATAGCCAGATGGCATGAAAACTTAAGACATGTGGCTTCACACTATCAGATTTCCTTGAAACAAGATGGACTCGACAATTGCATATCCTGATGTACCTCAATTGTCTACATACCTAAGGAGGTCTAGGCAAGAAATTATTGAGATCGGAAATATTTCCTCTCGGACAGGAGGAATGCTTTACCAATTTACCGATTGTCCCCATATATTTTGAGCAAACTAAGAAAATCAATGCCATTATGCACGTCAGTACGCAATATAAGGACCAAAATGTATACATATGTGGAAATGTGGCTAATTGAAAAATCAATTCTTAATTGAAACTTGTTATAATACTAGCGAGTTTGTTTCCCCTTCGGGCAAATAAACTCGCTTTAGACGCGCCTTCGGCGCTGTGCGATCTAGGGCATCCGTTTTCGATGCTCACTCCTACTAATGCAAACACCTTTTTTCTTATGTTCAATTCTTGCGCCTTCAAAGTGAAGGTGTCAAAGAACATATTCTTAATGACGCGTTGTCATTTGTAGCATGAGGATCACCAATTATCAGTTGCAAGTGTATCGTTTAGGGTTTCATTGGTGTATTCAACTCCTGTCTATGGTCGAGGCACTCTTGATAGCATATCAATCTCCAAAAAAGTAGGAGTAATAGCAGTCGTATAGCAACATAAACTACTTGAGTTTTAGCACTAAGATGGCTAGTGTTAAATATTAATGTAGGCCTGAGCAATCGTCGAAAGGTTGGATATAAGCTTGGTGAATCATTCCCATCAGGACAAGTACCGCCAATGTCGAACTGTATCTGTAGTATGCAAGGCAACATCTATTTATTTTCCATCCCGTTTCCTTTGAGGAGGAGTGTGCACAAAAGCATTATAATGCCTAAGCATGCATCCAGGGGTTGGGCCTAGGCCTGCGAAATCAGTCCCGCAAACTAGAAAAAAAACGTGACCCCAGGGCATGGACCCCCAAAGTTGGGCATTCGAAGTTAGACTTTCTCCTCAATCGACAACCCATCAGCTATTCACATTCCTTCCGTTTGGTTGAAATCAAGGGGAGCCTGAGAATGGCTGAGGCCTAGGTGTCCGTCTGAGGGTTAGACCAAGGGTTACAATATGAAACCACCTGAAATAAACTTACCCCCAAAGTTGGAATTTTTCTGGAGTCAGCAATCTAATAGCAATATGTGTACCAAGTTTCAGCCTCTCATCATGTCTTGAACATGGTTAGAATTAGCATCATTCAGTCAGTCACCATCGCCTATATATATTAGAAGTGGAATTGTATCTTGACGCAGCTATCCGCAAGGAACTTACTTGCCAAGTATTTTTCTTTAACTTTCATGCGCCATCTGTTTTGCTGGATTAGAAAAATTCGTGAAAATACGCCTTTTGCAAAATATGTGCCCTGAGCCATTTTAATCGAAATGTACCATTTTTTTCTTACCGAAACCGATCCTGAGAACGACATGCCCACAACAGCTTAATATTATGCATTTGCTTTTTTTACTGGGAAAAAAAAAACATATTTGGAAAAGTCGACACACCCTGGATGCCCGAAGGGGATGCACAACTGAAAAAGGAATACTCCCTTAGCTCAGTAATTCCATGTCACTTATACGTGTGCTAAGTTTCACCTTTGCATTTCTGTCTAATTCGGGAAAAATTCCGCCAGGGGATGTATCGAGGCTTAATATTTTTTTCTTAACTCGTTGTCTCAATTGTCACGTTTATACAAAGTTTCAACTTTCCATGCTCATTGGTTTAAATAATGCACCAAAAATTGAAAATATATCCCATTGAAATTTGTACCTCAAGGTATTTCCTTCCAAAGTCAGACGTTTTCTGCAGCATCCCAATAGGTAGTTACATCAAATTTTCATCTTTCCACACCAGCTGAATACACCAGGACAAAAAAAAAATATTGAAAACGCTGGCTTCTAAAAATATGCCCCCAGGGCATGGGCATACAATTTTACATTTTTCTTGAAAGCATCGTCTCGGTAGGCACATCCATGGCAGATTTCAGCTTTCCATGCTTCTCCGTTTCACTCAAGAAAAAATAATGTTATTGAGGAGGAATGAGTAAGGGGACATAGAAGGGAAAAAAGCCAAGGACTGGCTGGGAATTGAGCCCGAATCTTCCAATTGGCAGTTAAATACGCTACTACTACACC